GGGGGAGGGGGGAGCCAAATAAATTATTTTCCAGACGACAGCTGCAGCTTCATTGACCAATCAACCGCAGTGTGAATAATTAGCTTTAAAAAACCGACATACACGGTTTTAAAATATGAAAAACCGATATTATCGGTACGTGTTTGGTTTATTGCAAAAACCGAACCGTACCGACCCGTGCACACCCCGTAATGTTTACGAGCCAAGAGACACATCTTATGATCATCGTGTTTCAAATAAGGAGCTCGAATGAGGTAAAACGGGTACAAACTGAAAAATATTCCATATAATCGAGAGGATTCAACTAAATTTGATACCACAAGAGTAGACGTGCAAAAAGATTCATAATTGATGGCTGGTTATAATTACCCAAACATAATAGGTATCTCGTAATTTAATATTACCTCAAGGGTGGTTGTAACTTACCCAATTTATTTTAAATATATGAGAAATCGGTTAAATAGGTACTAAGTTGCTACATCTTTTATATATATATATATATATATATATATATATATATATATATATATATATATATAGTTTAAATTTGAACTGTGCGAATAAAGAGTTTACAAGTTATATTTATTAATTATATAAAATTTTACATAAATAGGTGGGAGAACTATTTATTTTTTTATAAAAACATCTTATAAGATCTGCAATTATTTATTATTTTTAATTCAAAGAAGTTGGTAAATAAAATTGTCCTTACACTTGTGAAGAGCTTAAAAACTTAGTCAAACTCTTAAATATTTTAAAAAGGATTTAAATATGATAAGGTTAGAGAAATATTTAATTCAATTCAATAAATAGTATCCTAACCACGTTTTAATTTAATAAAATACGCAAATAATCCCAAACCTACTACCTAGGGGTGCAAGTTGGAACGGAAATTCCGATTTCCGCCGGTTCCAATCCGAAAAGTCCGATTTTGGAACAACTTTTTCATTCCGATTTCCGAAATTCCGATTTCCGATTTTTTCCGATTTTTTTGGATTGGAATTGGAATTATATAAAAAAAAATTGGAATTTCCGATTTCCGATCCGATTATTTCCGAAATTAATTCCGAAAAAATTCCGATTTTTTTCCGAAAAAAAACCGATTTTTTTCCAAAAAATACATCTTTGAGTAATATATATATATATATATATATATATATATATATATATATATATATTATACTTATTTTACATTATTTAGTTGTATTTATTCTTTATGGGCCATGTCACCTAAAAAAGCCCTAGTTTATTTTATGTAAAACCCTAGTTTTATGTTTATTATTTCTTGTGCAAAGCCAAAGAGTTTATTTAATTTTTGCTAGAAGTTTTATTGGATATTATGATGTGGTTTATTTTTATTTATTTTTTGAATTGAAATTTAGTAGTTATTTCTATCGACGTGGATGTTTTTATTTTTACCAAATTATGAAATTTTCAGCGAAGTTTCGAAATTTTAATACTTATGTCATTTCCGAAAAATTTCCGAAATTCCGAAATTTCCGGGCCTTTTGGAATTGGAATGAATTTTTAGATTCCGAAAATTTTGGAATTGGAATTGGAATTGATTTTGTACTTCCGAAATTTTTTGGAAATATTCCGAAAAGGCTAATTCCGATCCGATCCTTCCGACTTTCAGCCCTACTACTACCTATCTAAAAAATTAAAAATCCCCATACCATCCTATCCCATTGACGTTGGAAGGCGCGCCAAAATAATGAACTTAACCTACTTTTACAGCCAATCAACTACAACCACGTGTTAATCCATGTACGCGCCACGTCATCCAACGCTTCCGTATAAACCACCGCAAACTTTGATCAATTTCATCCCCTTCCTTCCTATAATCCTATATACATACATTGATACACATACATATATATATATATATATATATACACACACACACATACAAATCATCGAATGCTTAATTACACGAGAAAAATGGATTCCGACGAAGCAGATGCAACGAATCGAACGGCGGAATCCGGCGATTCTCCCGATCGGGATCGCGCTGCCGTGGCGCGGCGGGTGGAGCGGCTGTCCTCGCACCTCAATCCGCCGCCGGAATTATTTATTAACGGCGGATTGGCGGTGGCTCCGTGCGCGGCGCGTGCGAAGAAGATCGAGGTGGACAAGGATCGATTGTCGGCGTACATGAGGGGGAAATACAGGGACGTGCAGCAGGGGGTGTACGACTACTTCAATTCGAGGCCGGAGCTACAGACGCCGCTGGAGATCTCGAAGGACGACCACCGGGAGCTCTGTATGCGGCAGCTGATGGGGCTTGTCCGGGAGGCCGGAATCAGGCCGTTCAGGTATATCGTTGATGAACCGGCGAAGTATTTCGCGATTCTCGAGGCGGTGGGTGGCGTTGACATGTCTTTGGGGATTAAGATGGGCGTCCAATACAGGTGATTGATTTTTGCAATTCCCCCTTTTCGGATTGTGTGATTGAATTGTTGTGGATGGTTGTGAAATTACATTTATGCCCTTGATTTGTTGAATTTTGTTTTAATCATTGATTATTTTGGTTTTTTGTTATCCTTATTAGTGTAATTTGTATGTCGGAACTATTGGAGATAGTAATATTATACGACTAACTACTTAAGCTTCTGGTTAATGTGGTAATTTAACGTGGTATCAGATATTTTGAGTGCAAGGTTTCAAATGTAATCCTCATGCATTGAGGGAGCATGTTGGAGATATTAATATTATATGATACATTTCACTAAACAGACGTAATCATTTGTTGGATTCGCTCGAGGTTTTTGGTTTTTCTGTTTTTCTTTTTTGCGAGACAATTAATCTTAGTATTTACGTCGATCGCAGTCTTTGGGGAGGCTCTGTGCTAAACTTGGGAACGAAGAAGCATAGAGATAAATATTTCGAAGGCATAGACAATGTGGAGTATCCGGGGTGCTTCGCCATGACAGAGCTTCATCATGGTAATACAATTGTACGACTTTCGTAGCGCCTGTCGATGTTTTCATTATCTGGATTCGTTTCGGTTTTTTTGCGTTTTCCACATTGTCTTGTTCTGTGGACTGTAGTTTGTTTAGTTTAAGGATATTTTAATTTGAAGAATGGGGCTGTGTGCTTATATCTCGGATGTTCTTGAAGGTTCAAATGTTCAAGGCCTACAAACCGTCGCAACTTTCGATCCATTTACAGACGAATTCATAATCGACACACCGAACGACGGGGCAATCAAATGGTGGATCGGAAACGCTGCAGTCCATGGCAAATTCGCAACGGTTTTCGCAAAGCTAGTTTTACCCACACACGACACGAAGGGTGTCTCCGATATGGGGGTCCACGCATTCATAGTCCCAATCAGAGACATGAAAACTCACAACACACTGCCGGGTGTCGAGATCCACGATTGCGGCCACAAAGTCGGATTAAACGGAGTCGATAATGGAGCACTCAAATTCCACTCTGTAAGAATCCCACGAGATAATCTTCTCAATCGATTCGGAGACGTCTCACGAGATGGCAAATACACGAGCACTTTACCTTCCATTAATAAAAGATTCGCCGCTACGTTAGGTGAGCTTGTAGGAGGAAGAGTTGGTCTTGCTTATTCATCGGTAGGCGTGTTGAAAATTTCCGTAATAATTGCTGTGAGGTATTCGCTTCTTCGGCATCAATTCGGTCCACCTAAGCAACCCGAGATTAGTATACTCGATTACCAGTCACAGCAGCATAAGCTGATGCCTATGTTGGCTTCGAGCTATGCTTTCCATTTTGCAACGTTGCATTTGGTGGATAAATACTCGGAGATGAAGAAGAGTCACGATGAAGAATTGGTCGGTGACGTGCACACACTTTCGGCGGGGCTTAAGGCGTATGTGACTTCTTATACGGCAAAGTCGTTGAGTGTTTGCAGAGAAGCTTGTGGGGGGCACGGTTATGCTGCTGTTAATAGATTTGGTAGCTTGAGGAACGATCATGATATCTTTCAGACGTTCGAAGGGGACAACACTGTGCTACTGCAGCAGGTTTTTAATCTAATTTCGTAATGTTTGTTCTGAAACAATATGTAAAAACTGCAGATATACGAACATCTGCCTATTTTATGGATCGGAACAGTAGGGTTAATTATATTGTAATGCAGGTGGCAGGTTATCTCTTGAAGCAATATCAGGAAAAGTTTCAAGGTGGGACCCTCACGGTGACATGGAACTACTTGAGGGAATCGATGAACTCGTATTTGTCACAGCCCAATCCAGTCACTGCTCGATGGGAAGGTGAAGACCATCTAAGAGATCCCAAATTTCAACTGGATGCCTTCAGAGTAAGTATTCTTACCAACAACTTCATCTAACGAGAGGCATTCAAATGTATATCTTTCTGTTCTATAACCATTTTTTTTCACGCAGTATCGTACTTCTCGATTGCTTCAAAGTGTGGCCGTTCGACTCAGAAAGCACACGAAAAATCTAGGGAGCTTCGGTGCTTGGAATAGATGTTTGAATCACCTGTTGACACTCGCGGAGTCGCACATTGAAACTGTCATCCTCGCAAAATTCATCGATTCTGTGAGGAGGTGAGTTTCTTTTTTCTTTTTTCCTTTTTTTTTTCTTCTTCTTTTACATGCTATCCTTCACACGAAATTTATCTTTTGCTTCCTTTTTTCTTTTGCTTTAGTTGTCCGGATTCGGGCTCTCGTGATGCTCTGAAACTTCTCTGCGATTTATATGCATTGGACCGAATTTGGAACGATATTGGAACTTACCGGAATGTGGACTACGTTGCTCCTAACAAAGCTAAGGTAAAATACATTTATATATACATTGCTCCTGTCTACATAGGCCTAGGGCTCGTCTGTTTGGCAAGATAAGCCATGATTAGTTAAATAATTACATCTTGTATTTAATGTATGGTTGGTTTGATTAGTTTGCTGCAAAAGTCTTTTTTAGAGTATTGGTATACATAATTTTAACCTTTAATTTGCTCTGTAAATTGATAGGCAATACATAAGTTGACTGAACTGTTAAGCTTCCAAGTGAAGAACGTCTCGAAGGAACTTGTGGATGCATTCGATATCCCGGATTACGTCACACGTGCACCAATAGGGATGCAGGCCACAGAGGAAGCGTATTCGCATTATACTCAATTCGCCGGATTCTAGTAAATGCAAAATATTTATATAAAAAGGAATTGTAATAAATGTCGAATGTAATTTTTCGTTTGCTGTATAATGAAGTTTAGAGAGAAAGCTACGTGATTAATGTAATTTCTCATGACTGTTTAAAAGTGGACATCTAATTCTCGAGTCGAATTGTGTCCGAAGTTATCTGATATAAAATAATTATTCATCTCTGAAATTCTTAATTTTCTAAAAGATTTTGGATTCAATTTTAATTTAATTCGTCGTGCTGCAAACAAAATTTCTGGATCTTCCTTTTCTCAAGTGTTCAAATTAACTGATTGGGTGCATAAATCACACCCTATCCTTCTATTCAACAAATGTAAGATAAAAATTCATACATTGTAACACTTAACCTCACGTAAATTCAACTAAAATGTACTTAACAAGACAAGCATAAATTTAGAAACATGGTAAGTTGCAACGACAACATTATAGAGTGTGTTAATAATACGACGATAATAACAACCGACAAATAAGGTTCTATAATCAATAATAAATATGTAATAAAAAAGCGCTAACAACAAATCTCAATTATTTTTCTTCACATTTCAATCCTCAGATTCTTGATACTGCTTGAGGATCTCTTGACAGCTGGCCAGAGGAGTGTTTGCTAGGAAACCCATAGCGTTTGCAAAACGGGTGTTCGAATCCATACCGTTGTTGCGGGTGAGAATAACGCGAGCTCTGTCACGCCCCACGTTAGGTTCACTGCATTCCGGGTCGGAACTTTTCGATAGAAAGACATCACAGAAGTCGTCACCCCGGTCGCTCTGCACCAAGAATTTGTACTTTCCGGCGGAATCTGTCACAGTTTCGTCGGAGTAGGTTAGTTCCGATGTGGTCCTGCTCCTGCATTCGAGTCCAACAACCGCACCTGCCAAATAGTGGAAAATATAAATTATCATTAAAATCCCGAATCTAATCTAGAATTATGTATGTAAGGAATCGTCAATCGTAAGAGAATTACAGTTAAACCTCTCTAAAAAAAGGTGAGTTTTGAATCGTAAAATTTGATCATACCGTAAACAAATTCGTATAAAAATCGTAACATTTTGTAGAAAATCGATGCAATTTGGGAAATCGCAAGAAATTAACATAAACATTGATCATACCGTAAACAAATTCATATAAAATCGTAACATTTTGTAGAAAAACGATGCAATTTAGGAAATCGCAAGAAATTAAGGACCACGCCGACAAATTTTCAACCATCGCAAACTATATCAACGGCATAAATCGATGGAAGATAAGAATCGAATGGAACGACCAAATCATTGATCGATAGCTGCTTAATTGGAAACAATTAAGTCGATCCATAGTAATGTGAGTATACAACTGTTTATTCAAAGCTAATTGACACTACTAAATGCATTGCAACTGTATTTACTATTAAAAATGCTACTTTGAAAAGCTCGGAATTTGAGCTAATAAACACTGAAAATTAAATTTATGTGCGAAAAAAAAAATCATGATTCGAACAAGACGAACACTATAATTTCCAGATCTAGCAAATTGAAGCAAAATATGCATAGATCTGGCGAACATAGTAGGTACAACCATTAACCATTCCAAAAGTACAACTCGATAAGCGTGTGTTCTATGTGTGTGAGTGTGTGTGTGTGTGAGAGAGAGAGAGAGGGTTTTACCGGCGACGGGCTTAGAGGCAGAGGTTTCGTAGCCGCAACGGCAAGCATCGCAGTACGTGCTACCTTGAAGCAGAAGGGAGTCACCGGCGATATGGGCGGTGACAATGGATGGTACGACGCAAACAGCGAAGAGTACAACTAGCAGCAATTTCGCCATTTTTTTAGTGAGAGTGTTTATAATTTTCTCTCTCTACTGTAATGGAAGGGTTTCTCTCTCTAGAATCTGATTAGATGGGGGAGTGATATAGATGGGGTACAGCGAAGAGTCACATGGATTTTTTGAACAAAGGGAAAAAGAAAAGCGCGTTACACGGCAATCACTTTCTCTCTCACACACACACACACACGCACTCTGATTTCGGTGCGTGGGGTCCACTTCCTCCACCGCCGTTTAAACGGAGATTTATGATAGTCGGTGGTGTTTATTCATTTAAGAGTGTTGTTTTGGATAATTCATTTAAGATTAATTATGATGTTATTTTTTTAATTATTACTCCCTCTGTCCCATATTATATGTCTTTTTAGAGAGTTTTTCTTGTCCCAAATTATTTGTCATTTTATATTTTCAATGCATTATTAATTGCACTATTTTCAATTTTACCCTTTATCACTCCTAATTAGTTAGTTGTAAAACAATTAATGTCAAGGATATATTAGTATTTTCCTATGCTTTTTACGATAATCTATACACATTTATTGATTTTCTTAATACGTGTGCAACAACCCAAAACGTCATTTAAATTGGGACGGAGGGAGTATTTATTAAGATCAAATGCAATTTAACTTAACTCCTCTGGACTCGCTCTGCCGTTTTGAATCTCACATTAAGTCGGTGGTTCGTTAAATATTCTCCTTTTGTTTATCTTCAATAATTGTTTTTTTTTTTTTATTTTTTTTATTGTAGATTATGGTTTTTGATATTTGAGCTAATTAATCAAATATTTAATTATTCCTAAATAAAAAAAAATACATTACAAAAACTCCTAAGTATTTATGAATTATGAGAACCTCATTATTTTATTGGGTAGGTAGAATTATTACTTCTTAGAAAAAGAAAAAAGAAAAATTGTTTATTACTCCCGTTCCCATTACTTTTGTGCTTAACGTAGACAACAAAACTTTTCCATGCAATAAATAAAGACAGCTGGCAACTGATAATCATCAAAAAAATAAAATAAAGAAAGAAAAGTAGATACCCCATTTTTTTCATAAAGGACCAAATATTCATCTTTTTTTTTTTTTTTTTTTTTTTGTTCCTTTTTTCTTATCTTACATATAAGAAAAAAGAATTAATATTTAGTATTTCAATTTATTTCCTATCACGAGTTCTTGAATTAAGGAAGAAGCAATCTTAGATGAAGTTCTTAAAACTAGGCTTAGATCCAACGGCAGCAAATAAGGGGCTCACAAATTTATGTAATTAAAATGTTGCTTCATGATTCAAATGTACTAATTGAGTAAGCAATTAATAACTTTTCAATAACGTCAATGTTGAAATTGAAACACGTGCATTGCACATGGTCTTGATGATTTGACCAAATACCCATCCAATTAAGAATGTAATTAGTAATTAGTCTCTTGTTTTCCTTTTAGATGTTGTTCGCCGGCTCGAGCATGCCCATCTTTGTTATGGTCTATGCCAATAGGGATTGTATATTAGTTTCCGTTCTAGAACCTGCAAAAGTTCGTTATCCGTTTGCCGGGACGTTTTTGTGGATTGTTGGGCCTGAACCTTGACGAGGACGTCAACGATTTAAGTGGGAGAGTTTGTAACACCCCAACTCACATCGAAAAAAAATGCGGGATTTAGTGTCAGCTTATAAGGGAACCCCTGCTACTAGGGGTGAGCATTCGGATTGGGTTGTTCGGGTTTTGATCCGACGGGTAGGGTAATTTTCGAAGAGGTCGGGTTTTGCCGGGTTCAGATACTCGGTGCCCAAAAATCGAGTTGGATCCCGGTATTGGTATATATATAGGGTTACCCGATCGGATACTCGGTTAATTTTTTTATTAAAACTAAAAGGGGCTATACAATCGTATCACAACTAGGGCTATATCTATTTCGTTATCCGTCTACTGAGGAGGTCTTTTGGACTGTTGGGCATGAACTTTTTCCCAGGACGTCAATGATTTAAGTGGGGGAGTTTGTAACACTCCATCTCACGTCGAAAAAATGTGGTATTCAATGTGAGCTTACAAGGAAACCCCTACTACTACTGGGCACCAATATCTTTCGTGGACTTTTGAGGTGGGCTTGTGATAGATCTGTTATTACCTCAGTGCCTAGTGGGCCAGTAGGTTTTCTAACGGTCCAGGTCACCAAGGTTCCAGAAATACAAATTTTGTAACACCCACATTCCACGTCGAAACATTATGAACCCCATGGTTGCCTAATGAACCGATAAGTTGTTAGCGAACCGGATTGAAAAAGCCCGAGACTTTTACGTTTACCCCCTCTTCACTGTACAAATAAGTCATAAAGAAAATCATCATTTTTTTGGAATGAAGATAAACAAAATACGGGTTACATAAATCGAGAGCGTCCGGGCCGGGCCTTATTCAGATCATAAATTATTTTGGATTACATTACAGATTCTATACCCGGTCCAATTCATATTTGGCCAAACTTAAACGTGTCCGGCCCACATACAAGGTCCATTAACTACGGGTCGGGTCAAATATGAAAAGATCCAGGATCCATATATCACTAGCTAGCTTACATGCAAGTTGCAACAACTTACAAAAGTGACATTAAATTCATAATCAACTTTTTACAGCTAAAAGCAGATTGCAGTTGGAATAAATACTGCATTAAACTCTTCATAAAATTATTACATGCTCTAATTAATAAAGTTTTTGCCAAATATATTAATATCAACCAACTCCCAAATATTCAAAATTAAATGAAAATCACTTCTTAGGGTTTTTGGAAGATGATGACTTCTTCCTTGGCATGCATTTCCCTATTATACCCTTTTCTTTCTTCACTTCTTCCTCTGCTGCCTCTTCTTCTGCTTGCATCCCACACTTTTTGCTCCTGATATTATATATAAATATTTTTATAATTGTACATTATTTTTTTTTAATTTAAAAAAATACATTAATCCAATGAATTAAATAATTAACCTTTCTTGATTATACGAAGACGATTTCTTCAGTCCGGGCCCACCGAGCCGTTCCTCGGTGGTGATGGACTCGACAATGCTGCCGCTGAAATACTCCTTTTCCTCCGATTGCATGTTTCCGAATCTCGGATTCTCCGACATGTACTTAATCATCACAACTTCCTCCTCATCTTCCTCGTCCTCAACCGCCACCCTTGCGGCAGCGGCCGCTTTACAAACCACCCCTCGATGGAGGCTGCTGCCGCTCTTCCGCGGCGGAGTCGGTGGCAGTGGCGGGGCGGTCTTCCTGAAAGATGGGCCCGATCCGCCGCATGCAATGAGGCTGAACAGCATGGAGTTTCTGCTCAGCATTGGCTCATTTCCTACTGGATCTCCGTCTTCGGTAACAAACCTCTTCGAATTGACGTTGCTGTTGTCGATAATCGAGATTTCGTTGTTCGAGTGGTCGGAAAGAGTTGGTGAGGTGGTTGACGGAGGTGAGGAGAATGAATTGGCGTCGAGATTTATTTCGGTTGGTTTGTTAATAATAGTGCTTTTGGTAGGGATTTTGAGCTTGAATTCTTGGATTTCTTCAGTGGAGACACCCATCGAACACCTTGTGTGCACCACTGTTTTTCCAGCTTCATATTCTTCATCTTCAGCTGCCACATTTTCTTCATAATGATGGTACTGATCCTGTCGTTTTGAAGGTAAAGATTTGCGTTTTGGGTGGACGTCCGATGCGTCCTGGGCGGCGGCGCCGCCGCCGCCGCCCCCAAATTGAAATTCTTGAGCATTCCCAATTTGAAGGTGGTGCAACTTCTCTAAAAATCCCACAATAATAAATAAATAAATTATATATATAAATTCATCAAATTAAAAGCATGCCATTAAATTAAAAAGAAAAAAAAGAAAAAATTACCAGTACTGGAAGGTAGAAGTAATTCAGATGCTTTGAGTACATATTCAGCTCCTTCAGATGGATAAACGACGTCGTTTAGAGCCAAGTCATTCCATACATAACCATTCTTGTAGCTCCTACACAAATAGTCAACGTTTTCAGTTGACCGGCTACATAATTTATTATTTTTTTTCCATATATATAAATATAAATTAGATTTACCTTTTGCAAGACCAGGAGTAAAGTGAAGGCATTCCTTTACCTCTAAGAACTGTAAGCCGGTCAAGAACATCTACAATATTTTTATTATTATATAAGTATATCAAAATTTAAAAAATATTAAACAATATAAATAAAATTAAAAAAAAAAAAAAAAAAAAAAATACCTTTCAAACGAAGGTGTTGATGGGCAAGATGAGAAACTTCAATGTAATGTGGGTGTTGGAGGTGACCATTTCTTGATATGTAGTAAACTATTTGTACTTTCTTGAATGTTGCTTTCATTACAACATTATTATTATTATTATTACTATTATTTAATCTTGTCTTAATATTAATATTGTTAATATTAATATTATTACCTAGTCTTTCTGGGCTGGTTTGATTATTATGATGATCTCTGCTGCAAATAACCCTCGTCCTCTTATCTTCATGCATATTATGAACTCTCTCCAATAAACCCTAATCCAAAAAAAGAATACAGAGTTTCCACTCACACAGAGATATGCATATATGCAGAGTCTAGAGAGAGAGAAACTGTGGAAATAGTTTCAAGAAGTGATGTAGAGAGAGAAAGAGACAGAAGATGAATTTGGGTGGTCTGACTTAAGCAAATTGCAGAGCTAAAATTACAGAGTTTTTTTTGCAAGAAATTTAATTAATTACGTCAGCTTTTTCAGATTTCGACAGAATCGAGGACACTGGTGGGAGGGATGATCTGATGCTCCACGCAACAGATAAGTAAATGCGGGGGATAATTTTTTTTTTTTTTAATATATATTATTTATTTCATTTAAAAATATCAAATTAAAAAATCAAATTATTTATCGGTTTAAAATATTAATGACGCATTAATTGTATTTTTTTTAAATTCGATCTTTATCATTTTTAACTTGTTGAGAAATAATTAGTAGTAAAGTTATTTTAGTTTTTTTTTTAAATTAAAAAAATAATTAATTTTTGCCAAACCTTTAATTATTATCTATAGCTTTGATTATGATTGATAAGCTTTGGATTCTTTAAATTTGCACCAAATGTTTAATGATTAATGATTAGCATTTGCTTTAACCTTTTGTATTTACTTGTAATTATGATCTTTCACTTAAGAGTCGTTTTTCACTGTGTCCGGATCGATCGTGAATTATTATTTAAACTAAGTCGTTAATTTATTGTGTAGTTCCTAAGTTTATTTAATTTCATTATGTTCATCTCACCTTACACCCTAGTTGTATCACGGGTTTCTTTCATCAAGAAACTTTCACCCGTGAGGTTTGATTTGCCACTAAATCAGTCATTCTTCCTCTCGATTCTCTTTGTACTAAACACACAAATACAAGTCTTTTAATCTAACATAAACAAGACCAAGAGTATACAATGGAAAACAACACACACGCACATTTACTGGCAATGCCCAACCTTTATACTAATTTACCACAAATAATACAAAAGAGACTAAGGAGCACACACAAAATTCTCACTCAGGATGCCCACAATTGCAATCTGAACTCTGTAATACTAGATGGGTCGGATTTGTACACTCAAAGGCATATAAATACAAGTAAGAATGTAGTTTTTAAATAAAACTACCTATGGACACTTGGCAACACAGTAGTCTAACATTTGGCTATCTATTACAAATAATAAGGGGCGGTTCCACATGCTTTCAAGGCCTCAACCGCTCCGCAACTTCCCTCAAAATCGTCCACATGGTCGATTGTCGGGGTCTGCCTTGCTCGGGCGCACGCGCGCGCACCAAACGACCCAAAACAGCCCGGCCGGTTGCTAGGCAGCCCATCTGTCTTGCCTTATCCGCACATTTTGTTTGCCTTGCCAATTATTTGCTAGTTCTTTGCCCACACGGTCATTGGCACACCCGCACATCAGGCTGCCTTCCTAGACTTGCCAAACGGTCATGTCAACTTGCCCACACTTGTCAAGTCGTGGTCGATTTCCTTCAAACGCTCGTTTGCCCAAATTCTCAGCCACATGTCAATCACTGCCCACGCTTGTCTACATTGGCTGCCGAGCAACGCCCGTGCCAACCGCAAGTACTTTCGATCACCGTTCTCACTTGAATCAAGCCGTTATTTGTTTTTTCGAACAAACACCCCAAATACTTGCCCTACACTCGACCACTCATTGCCCGATTGTGTGGCTGTCTTGTGTCAACCCTCGCTTCACTCTTTGTCGGCCATGACTCGGCCACAATCGAATCACAGCCGATGTCACCGACTAAAGGGACACTAGTCTAATTATAAGCACTTAAATGGATTTTTTTTAATTCACACCAATTTAAATGGAAAATTTAATTTGTTCAACTTTAATTTATATTATTTTCATAATTTTAGAGTTACATATTTGTAATTTTGTATAGTAACGACTTTTTTTGCGAATATAACGAAAGACTTAAGGAGTTCCATTGTTACGTCCCAAACATGTTATATTTTGAAAACACTACAAAAATACCAAATAAATGTCAAAAAGAAAAAAAAAATCTTTACAAAATTACAAATAGGTAAGTTCTAATTTTTCTATATTATATTAATAAAAATTAAATATTGTAAAGTAAATAAGTGATTCATGTAACAAATGAAAAAAATAGTTAATGTTGTCTGCTCATGTATACTGCCCTCCCAATTCTCTCAGGCATTTGTCTCATCAGTGACTCTGTAGGTATTGACTTTTAAACATGTAATTGCAGTTTTTGTTTTTTGTTTTTAATTTTTAATTTTTTCATTTAATAAAAAATGTTGACTTTTGACTCAGCAAGTCTATAAAAAAAAAGTACTTTGAAACAAAAAAATGGTAGAAAGAAAATAATGTAAGGTATTAAAAGAAATTACAATAAATACCTTGTTAGTATTATTTTTTATAGGGGAAACTACAGATAAATCCCTAATCCAAAACTCAACACACAGATCAGTCCCTAGGTAGTTTCCCCAAGCAATTCAGTCCCTATTCACGCGTCTGACATGCAGTTCAGTCCCTAATGTGAATTTTATATATTTTATTATATTCTCTCTCTTCTTTTTCACTCTCACCCTTTTCTCTCTCTTCTTTTTCTCTCTCTTCATCTTCTCTTTCTTTCTTCTCTTTCTTCTCTGTTTCTACTGCTCTCTTTCTTCTCTATTTCTTCTCTCTTTCTCTCCTCTGGTTTCCTCTTTTTCCGACGAAAAAATCACTGTAAAACCCACCCACCCCACAATGGTTTCGAATCCCGGAAGGTTATTTTACTGTTGCCCACATCATGGCTACTCCCATTGGTGTGAATCATTTGAAGTTGGGCAAACTTTTTCCGACTCAAATCGTGAAGAAAATGAAGCTACAAGTGCGTCGATGAACCAAGTCCATCAAGAAAGTGAAGTGAAGAATTGCAATTCTGAAGGTGGAGTAGTTCATAGTTTGATAGTGTTGAATCTAGTAATATTTGCAGTCTACATGCTATGTAAAACATATGTACTGTTGTTTAATTAGTGAACATAAGAGTACAATGTATAGGCTGGTAAAGTTCGGGTTATTCGTGAATATAGTACACTTTGTCCACCAAATAAGTACAATGTATAAGCTGGTAAAGTTCGGGTTATTCGTGAATATAGTACGCTTTGTTCACCAAATAAGTACAATGTATAAGCTGGTAAAGTTTGGGTTATTCGTGAATATAGTACGCTTTGTTCATCAACTAAGTACAATGAAAACACATGTGAAGTACAAGTGATTCGTGACTATAGTACGATTTGTTCACTGATAAAGTATATGTTTGCCATTTATATAGTATTGTTACAGTCTATATATTATTGTCGGTTCAATGCATCCATATGATCGCATTTTAAGACACAACTCTTCATTTTAAGACTATTAAGAATGAATGGAGACAATGTGGGAGTTGATCAATATCGATTATGGTAACAATTGAAAAAAAAAAAAAAAACAATAGAAGAAAATATTAGTTTTACACTTGAGCATTGTAGACTTATATGAATATATTGTATAGTATATGAGTATCATGTATGAAATTCAACATATTTATGGGATCTTGTATTCCAAATCCAAACGCAACAATAATTATCACCTACCTTAAAATAACCATCTAAATCATAATTTATGCATCTCCCGTACTTATTGATCATTAAAGCGTCAATGAAATTGGTACAATTCAATTCATCAAAAAATATCGTACGCTTTGTTCATCAAGTAAGTACAATGAATACACATGTGAAGTACAAGTGATTCGTGACTATAGTACGATTTGTTCACTGATAAAGTATATATTTGCCATTCATATAGTATTGTTACACTCTATTTATTATTGTCGGGCCGATGCATCCATATGATCGCATTTTATGACACAACTCTTCAGTTTAAGACTATTAAGAATGAATGGAGACAATGTGGGAGTTGATCAATATCGATTATGGTAACAATTGAAGAAAATATTAGTTTTACACTTGAGCATTGTAGACTTGTATGAATATATTGTATAGTATATGAGTATCATGTATGAAATTCAACATATTTATGGGATCTTGTATTCCAAACGCAACAATAATCATCACCTACCTTAAAATAACCATCTAAAACATAATTTATGCATCTCCAGTACTTATTGATCATTAAAGCGTCAATGAAATTGGTACAATGCAATTCATCAAAAAATATGGTACGCTTTGTTCATCAAGTAAGTACAATGAATACACTTGTGAAGTACAAGTGATTCGTGACTATAGTACGCTTTGTTCACTGATAAAGTATATGTTTGTCATTCATATAGTATTGTTACACTCTATTTATTATTGTCGGGCCAATGCATCCATATGATCGCATTTTAAGACACAACTCTTCAGTTTAAGACTATTAAGAATGAATGGAGACAATGTGGGAGTTGATCAATATCGATTATGGTAACAATTGAAGAAAATATTAGTTTTACACTTGAGCATTGTAGACTTGTATGGATATATTGTATAGTATATGAGTATCATGTATGAAATTCAACATATTTATGGGATCTTGTATTCCAAATCCAAACGCAACAATAATTATCACCTACCTTAAAATAACCATCTAAAACATAATTTATGCATCTCCCGTACTTATTGATCATTAAAGCGTCAATGAAATTGGTACAATTCAATTCATCAAAAAATATGGTACGCTTTGTTCATCAAGTAAGTACAATGAATACACTTGTGAAGTACAAGTGATTCGTGACTATAGTACGATTTGTTCACTGATAAAGTATATATTTGCCATTCATATAGTATTGTTACAGTCTATATATTATTGTCGGGCCAATGCATCCATATGATCGCATTTTAAGACACAACTCTTCATTTTAAGACTATTAAGAATGAATGGAGACAATGTGGGAGTTGATCAATATCGATTATGGTAACAATTGAAGAAAATATTAGTTTTATACTTGAGCATTGTAGACTTGTATGAATATATTGTATAGTATATGAGTATCATGTATGAAATTCAACATATTTATGGGATCTTGTATTCCAAACGCAACAATAATTCTCACCTACCTTAAAATAACCATCGAAAACATAATTTATGCATCTCCCGTACTTATTGATCATTAAAGCGTCAATGAAATTGGTACAATTCAATTCATCAAAAAATATGGTACGCTTTGATCATTGACTGCAATCTTCTTTTACATCAATTCCTGCAATTACATACACATAAAACTACAATTATAACAAATACAACGTACTATAAAGTTCCACATGTCAATACCATCCAAAGTTACTAGTAATA